CGAGATCGCGCCATTGCACTCCAGCCTGAGTGACAGAGTGAGACTTCGTCTCACCAAAACAAACAAACAAAAACAAACAAAACCACTTAGCCTATCTAAAAGTGTAACCAATGGCAGTAATATAAGCAATCATGCATATGTAGTGAAGGCTCCATAACAACCCAAAAGGAGAGGATTCAGAGGAGCTTCTGGATAGGTGAACACTTGGAGGCTCCTGCAGTGTGGTGCACCCAGGGAGGGCACCAAGGCTCAACGCCCCTTCTCCCATGCCTCACCTCACTGATCCCTTCCATCTGACTGTTCATCTGTCAACTCTGTAATAGCCTTTATAATAGGTAAATCTATGTAAAGTGTTTCCCTGTATTTTGTGAGCCACTCTAGCAAATTCGTTGAACCCGAGGAGGGGGTCAAGGGACTCCAGGATTTATATCTGATCAGTAAGCACAGGTCACAACCTGTGCTTGAGACTGGCATTGAAATGTGTGCACTATTGTGGGACTGAGCCCTCAAAGTGTGGGATCTGATGCCGTGTCCAGGCAGATAGTGTCAGAATGGAACGGAATGAGAGAACACGCACCTGGTGTGTGTGGCAGGATTGCTTGCTTGGTGTGTGTGGGAAAACCCAGTACCTCTGGGCTAACAGTAGCGTTCTGTGTTGTGAGAGAATAGTAGAAGAAACTGGATCAGTTTTTCCTATATTCTTAAACACGTGAAGTTTTTTGGGTTTTTTTTTTCTTCTTCTTCTTTTTTTTTTTTTAAGACAGAGTCCTGCTCTTGTCGCCCAGGCTGGAATGCAATGGCATGATCTCGACTCACTGCAACCTCCACCTGCTGGGTTCAAGCGATTCTCCTGCCTCAGCCTCCCAGAGAGTTGGGATTACAGGTGCCTGCCAGCACACTCGGCTAATTTTTGTATAATTTTTGTATTTTACAGCTTCACAAGTAAATTGACAGTAGGTTACCTCAGTGAGAAAAGTTGAATAGTTCAAGGGTACCAACATGGAGCTGCATAAAAGGTCATTACATACACACACACATCGACATCCATAAGACTTAACTACTCTTACGATTAAGTCAGTCATGTGATAGCAGAGAACAAATTTAAGGCCATGGAAAACATTTAAGATATAATTTCAATTGTTAAAAAAATACAAAACTTATTTCACAGGATGATGTGTCCTTGATAAAAACCATGGGCTTCTGCCTCCATACACTAATGCACGCACATCCCATGTACACACAATTAAATAAGAAGAGTTGTGTCTCAAGGACTCACTTTTTTCAATGATTTTTAAAATCACCACTTTTCCTCAGTGCATTTCAGCAAGTTTGGGACACTGGAAATGTACAAATTGCACTTAATGTAGTTTATAAACACTACTGTATATCAAACTACTAAAAATTGTACAAGCTGTTGTGGCTCATGGTTGTAATCCCAGCACTTTGGGAGGCTGAGGCGGGCAGATCACTTGAGCTCAGGAGTTCAAGACCAGTCTGGGCAACAAAGCAAGACATCATCTCTACAAAACAAATTTAAAAATGAGCTGGGGATGGTGGTACATGCCTGTAGTCCCAGATACTCAGGAGGCTGAGGGGGAGGATCTCTTGAACTCAGAATTTTGAGGCTGCTGTGAGCTATGATAGACATCATATTCCAGCCTGTCTCAAAAATAAAAAAATTAAAACTATTAAAAAATGGTATAACATAAAAGTACCATATAGAAACCTGAACTCAGGC